TTTTTTTGCTAGTTATATGTCAAAAAGTACATTTATTCATAAAAAACAAAACAAAGTATGTTTTGTTTTTACTTTTTTTTTTCGTTTCTTTTTTTTTTCTTCGCGAAGATTTGTTTCGTGAATTTCAGTTTTAGTTTACAAGGAAAAATGAAATGAAATATCCGTACATTGTTTTTTTTTTTTCAAGTTGGAATTTGTTTAGTTTTTAAATTTAAAAATTTTTTTTAAAACTAATCAGTTGGTATATTTGAATTAAATTTTAAAGGTTAAACATGATAAGAGAATAATTTATTGCTAAATTAATCGTATTATTTATACATAACAGAATGATAAATGAAAAAAAAAAAGAGAGACAAATATCCGAACAGTTTGAGCTTTAACTTTTTTTAATTTCACCAAATAAACAAAAGATATTTGCAAGAATTTTTCCTGGGGATATATTTATTTGAATACTGAAAGAAAAAGAATTGAACTTTATGAAATTATAAAAAGAATTTCAAAAATTTACAAAAAAAAAGAAAAAAAATATAAAAGAAGTTTATGAATTTTTTAAAAGAAAAAGTATTTCAAATTATTTGCCATTTAAAAATATCAAAAAATATTCATTTTCATATATAAACTTAAATTATGATGAAAGTTTAAGAAAAATAATGAATGGGATAATTTCTTGCAGGCAATGATAAAAATAAAATTGAAAATATGAATTCGTTCATATTTTATAGTATTTTAATGATTTTACAATTTTATCAATAACATTTGATAATATATTTATTTTCAGTGCTATTTGTATTTTGATATTTTACAATTTTATCAGTAACATTTGATAATATATTTATTTTCAGTGCTATTTTATGAAGATAATGAAATTTGAGTAAGGCATGAGATAGGATTTGGATAATTAATAATAATAATAATTACCAGGTTTCATCCTTAAAACAACTTGTTGTGGTTCAAGTTGTACAATCGTTGCACCATCTGCTTGTTTACTTCCTAATGGCAAATTCTGAAATGATAATTAATTGTTTTTCTTTTTTTTTTTTGAAATGAAATTTTCGTAGAAAAAAAATTAAACAATATTTTGTTATGTCATCAATTTTTATAATAACATTGAAAAATTTTCGTAAATTTTCAGGTAAAAAATTTAAATAAAAGTTTAGGTAAAATCATAACTAAATTGTTACAATCAATAAAAGTTAACTACATGGGAAATTCTGAAATTTTTAAAATTAAATTTTTAAATTAAAAAAAAAGACTTCTGCACACTTTTCAAAATTAAAACATTACATTTTGTGGTATAATTCGAACTTCTGTAGAAGGTGAGTAAATAAGCGATGGAGCACATTTGCCTTGAAATTCAGATTTTAAGTCACATCGTGATGGACCTACCAAATGCTGCAATACTTTTTAATCTTTTCTTGAGGTACAAGTTTTTTTGTTTTTGTGTTTTTTTTTTTTGGAAACATTTTTGTTAGTTTAAATTTCATTTTATCTATCTATTGATAAGTATTACAGTATGCTTTATTGGCTTAAACTTGAATGATTAAATAATTATGCTTAATAAACTTAATATATTTCTCTAATTCAATTCTGTTCGTATTTAGAAAAGTTTAAGGTAAATCAAAATTTTCACAATTTTCACTTTTTCTTTTTCAAATAATTAATCCTTATACATAATTTTAAGTATCAATGAATGAAAAAATGCGCGCTCAAAAAGTTAAAGATAAATATTGGAACAATATTCTAGATTAAAATCAATATTCCAGATTTAAAGATCAATATTTAGATAAAAGGTTAATATTGGAGCTTATTTTGCATAAAATGAGTTCCTCAGTAAGCACATATCAATTAAGTTATATCAATCAAGCAAATAAAAAGTAATCATATAATTTTTTCTCGTATTTATATTTGACACTCTAAATTAATGACAGGTAATTTTACGCATTTCGTACTATTTCGGGTAATCGGAAATTTTAATAAGGCAATGACTTGAATATATTTTACCGAAAATTATTAAATCCATCATAAAGCTCTTATTTGTAATTTAAAAATTGATAATAAGGAAAGCAGTTAACAAACCGGATCAAGACACCATGCACATTCCGGATGTTGTTTGATACATTGGCCACAACTTCTACTACCCAATGTATTGGTGCATAATTTCCTGACATCTTTTGCAAATACTGAAATTCATTAATTTAATGAAACAAGGCATATTTGAATTTATAAACTAAATTTGTAATTAAAAAGTGCTGTAATTTATAAATTAAATTCATTCAAAATTTACTTACCATCAACAACAATGATAAATAATGCAAACAGCGAGTACATGTAAGGCTTCATTAGATGGAAAATAATTTCGAAATATCTGCAAATATTTCACAATTATAATATAACAAAGTATTGTACTTTCAGACAAATGCGCCATTTTCAAGGTGTTGAAATTATTTTTATAATCGCAATAAAACAAAGTATTGACTTTCAGACAAATGCGCCATTTTCAAAACATTTAAATTAATAAAAACATGCAATTTGCGAGTAATTAAAAGCTTTTCTTGCACTTTGAAATGAAATTAAACTTCAAAATGACATTAAAAAAGCTAAATCTTCCATTTCCCTTATTGTCGTGCAGTTTGTCGTTGTTTATAAAATTTTGTGAGAAAATTAAAAACAAAAAAAAATTTTAAATATAAAATAATAATGAATTTCTTCATCCTTCACTATCTTAATATTTTTGAGTGAATCTCTAATTTCTTGAAATGACTTAGTCAGCCTATTTAACTAGTCTGTTATTGTTTGATGTATTTGGTTATATGTTTTTAGCCCATTTGATAATATAATAACGCTGGCTGTTAATCCATTCATTCATTTTAATCAATCTCTTATCAGTGATGAAATGATGATAAATATTATTGATAATCAGAATTGAGAATGAATTTAGTTCTATGAGTACTTTAGAACTGATTTATATATACAAAAATAGTAAATCTATTCTCCGCTTTTATTTTTTTTTTTTCTCTCATATTTTCATTTTTCACTTTCTCCTCACCTATTATTCTTCACAATTCTCTTTTTTTTGATATTCATTTCTTGGCTAAATAATAATTGAAGATAATTAATTACTGTTTGACCTGTAAATTTGAAATGGAAAGATGGATTTTTTTGTCTTTTTTTCTTTCCAAAGAATCTATACTTAGGAATTATTATTAATTTTTTGTAATTAATAAGAGTTATGGCAAAAAAAAAAAAGAAAAAGCAAACAGCGCCAGAAAAAAAGAATCCTTGTTCAATTCCATCACGACATCTATCTGCTCGGATGAATCATTTAGCTATCACTGATCTTTTTAATTTCCGATATATACCAGAAGAAGATTGTTGTATCAACTAGCGACAAATGCTATAGCTTACAGATATTATATATATTATATATATTAAAATAATATTATAATTTAAAATAAATTTTATATTAGAAAAACGAAATTACACGAAGAATAAAAATTAATTAATAAAAATTAAATTAATAAAAACTTTTCTTTTAAAAAAAGGTTT